AAAACTTTACAAAATGATTTTATAGACTTAGTAAAACATGTATAAACTGATATTAAAGTCTACAAACTAAGAATACAATATTTTCACAAATACAATAGAAAATGAAACCTATGAGTATGTATATGAAAATATATTTGTTTCATATCTAAGTAGATAAACCAAATCACAATATGAAACATGTAATTTCATATTTATAAACATGAAAACTAAAACTTGTGTTGTATATATATGTGACTACATATATATACAAGGAAGCTAATAAAATGTGTGTGTATAGATAATTGAGCTTAGAGTACTTAACACACATAATATAAATCCTAAACTACATTACCCAAGCAATCTTGATCTTCATTGTAGCTCAACTTGGTACACGTTGCGGATGAAGCTTGAACTTGATCTTTAACTTGAATTGTATGTTGCTTCACTCCACAATTCCGCCAACCTCCTCTTGATATGATCGTGTAGGCTCAATCCATCCATCCTCCAACAACGTTGTTTGTCTACAAAACATAAGAATGCACAAACACTAGACAAACAACATTAGTAATAAATTGTTTGTTAAACATCATCAAAACAAGAAGGCCAACAGTGTCAGCTGACGACTAGACGGTATATCACTTCGGCATTAAATGGGAAGTGATCAGTGGCAGGACAGTGGCCCACGTAGTCCGTTGAGTCATGAAGACTATAGGGGCCAGAGAAATAATTTACCTGCTATGCATTAAATGCGATGCAAACATGTAACCATTGAGGGTAGCTTCGTTGAGAAGTAACGATGTTTCAAGGCGGTTTCAAGTGGTGTTCTAGACGAATAGTCGAGTAAACTCTTGGCGAGCCGCCTAGGATGAGAAGACCGACTAACACCGCCTTTCGTGTCAACATGGAGAAATGTCGATTAGATAAATCAACTGAGTCGGACTATAGAGGATCTGGGTCATCCCTTTGAGCGGGGCAAGACGTATAAGGATACATCCATTTGTTTACTAATACGTTGTATGTCCAAGAGTAGGAATACTATAACAATATGGTACTTTAATGTTATATTATATTATAATTATTACATATTATTTTCAAATAATTATATATTTAATTATTTTGATATATCAATTTGTTATTGTTGTATATTATATTATTTTTTATAATAATGTAATTTTATTATTAATATAATATTATACTATTATTAATATAATATAATATTATTAATAATGTTAATATTATGTTATTACTAGTATGTTATTAATAAATTAATATATTATAAATATTTTAATATTATATAATATATTATAGTATTATATTGTTATGTTGTTATTAAATATGTTACTATTATATAATATTTTATAATTATTAATTTATTATAATTTATTTATTAAACAATGAATAATATTATAGTGATTACACTATACACTATTATTATATCATTATTTATTATCAATTACTTTTTTATTATTTTTATTAGCTTATTTATATTTATTATTATTTATTTATTATATAATACATTATTAACATATTAAATGTTGGTATTTAATATGTTATTATATTATTATATAAGATATTTTATTTATTATATTTTTATATTATTTAATAAATATTATTAATATATTAGATTAATTATAATATTGTATAATATAGTATAGTATAATAAACATGTTGATAATAACTCTATGTTAATTATATTTAATATATTATGTTAGATATTATATTAACACATTCTCAAACTCAAAACCAAAACACCAAACTTAAAACACCTAAAAAGTGTTTTAAAATAAGTGTTGTGTTTTTGGTTTGAGCATGATGTAGCTCAAAAAACACCATGGTTTCCAAATGCATGGTGTTTGTTTTTGGGGAAAAGCACCACGGAAATAAGTAAAACATCATGCTATCCAAGCGGAGCCATAGTTATTATAGTGATTTTAACTATTTACACAAAATTTATCAATTGCTGGTAGTGAATCAAAATTGAGAATGATGGTGTGCTTTGTGGCACCCAATATGTTTTTTTTTATGTTGGATACATGCGGAGTATAAAAACATTACCTTCAATTCTTATCATAACTCTAGAGTTTAGATGTAATAGTTAGAGGCTTTAATATAAACCAATATAGGTTTAAATTTTATTGGGCACGAAGTTAAAATAGATTTTCTCAAAATTAATATGGTTGTGCCGATAAAAAGAATGCTCAATCCACGAAGTTATATTAGAATATAAATTTATAACCCTTAATTTTGATTATAATTTCGAATTATATAATGATTAGAAACTTTGACCCGGATTTTAGATCAATATCTCTCTACTAGAAACAAACTAAAAGGCATTGGCACCCGAGTGGTGCAGTGCGCGCATGCATGTTTGCATAGAATAATTTGATGTCCACTGTAAACGAAATATTAAACTTGTGTGGTGGTGGCATGGAAATGCGACATGGAGATGTTGATATCACTTAATATATATGCAGGAGCCAACGCAGTACCACTTTCGAGATGTGATGGGCTGAAGTTTGTTTATAGGGAAGCTAGGGAGCTTGAGGGGAGCAAGGAGAGTTGGAACTTGTTCTTGAGAATTGTGGCGTTGGGTAGCAAGGTAGCCGTAAATAATCAAATATATAATTCGTAAAAAGCAAAAGCCAAATCAAAGAGTGGCATTGATGTGGGAGAGACTATGGCCGGCAAAGATATCCAGGGTCCTGCAAATTAGATTGATATGTTGTAGCATGGCGTGTGATCAGAACATTAGGAACTGTGCAGATCTGTGTTTGACAGAGAATTATTTGATGTTTTTGCCTTCAATTCCTATTCATCTTTAGGCTGTATTTAGTAACTCCATAAAATTTATTTTAAGCGGTTCGTGCAACTTTTGCTAGAATAATGTTATATGTACTTAAACATTCAATACATTTTTATTAAATATTAATTAAGTTTTATTATTACACATATTGTTCGGTATCTTTTATATAATTGTTATATTATTCTTAGAAATTATTTTGCTAGATCATGCACTGTGATGATCGCTCGTTGGAAGATATGATCTAATTCAGAGGTTTCTTAAAATTGTGCTTAACCTATAACTAGCTAGTAAAGGATAACTTTATTATAACAAGTTATTATGCATGACAACGACATATGAGATGTGATGGTTGATCTCAGCTATCGGGAATGAAGATTCCTCGGGTGTATATCATAAGCGCATATTCAATATGTGTAGCACAAGACCTTATTTGAATTATCTAGGATGAGTCACCTAAAAAGATAGAGAATTCGAATTGTTACGTGGTCCCTTGGACTTGATGATATATATTATCGCTTTTGATTTGATAATTTAGTATACTTTGATATGATTGTTAAGCTTGTTTTACAAGGGCTCTACAACCTGAAATGTTGAGTTATTAGATTTTATTTAGGGAAATGATGGATATCTAGATAGGATCCAGTATACTCATTTTTATGAGTTAATTATAATGCATATCCCATAAAGATATTAAATTCCCGTCAACGGGTGTTATTTGAAAATTATTTTTCTAAATTTATTTTCTTATAAAATAAAATATTTTGATGTTTCAAAATAATTTTTATTTATTTTTATGGAATTATAATTTTAGGAATGAGCAAATAGCTGATTTGTCCTGTTCAATGAAGTTGCCTAAAATAAATTGATACCGGAGGGGACTGAATGTAAGATAATATTATTCATGAATATTTAATCTCATATTATGGAAGAGCTTTTATGAACAGTTGATCGGATAGGGATTTGATTATTAAATTAAAATTATTAATTTTTTGATTAATAATTAGTTCTTGATATGGGACCCAATTGGTCTTACTAATGTCATTAGAAGAGGTTTACATGCAATACAATTTTATTTCCATTCTAATTGTTATGGAAAGAATATTCTATCTTCAAATGTTATGGATAGAGTTTTAAATAATTAAGAATTGTTTTGAAATTAAAATCTATAAGGCATGTCCAATCCTATATATATGATTCATATGTAGCCTTATGGAGAAAAAGAAAGAAAGAAGAAAAAGAAATAAAAAAGAGAAATAGATTTGGAGAACCTATCCCTTAGTATTGTTCCTCTTCGGTGATAGGTGGATTTTAGTTGGAGGCTTTTTCTCTTAAGGAAGCTATTTCGTATTGATCTTGGAAGAGATTATCGAAGAAATTTGGAAAACGTTTTAGGTACTCTTCTAGATTTTAATCAATTTAGACCAATTTACATAATCTGCAATTTTCGTTACGTTGTATGTTATGTTTCCAACAGATGGTATCTGAGCGGGGTTAGAATCCAATATGTAATAATTTAATAAGATTAAATTATCCTGATTTGATCTTTATTTTTGGATTATTTAATTGGATTAAATTAAAATTTTTATTAAAATCAAAATTAGGGCTCTGTTACTGGTCACGAGGTCACAAACGGTTTTCATAAAAAAAAAGTTTTATTCACCGGCGATGCTACTATTCACTGCCTAATTATTCTTTAGTTTAATTTGTTAAACTTAATTAATTTTTTTAAGATTCGGCTGTTGTTCACGGGTTGAATTTAGATCAAAGAAATTTAGTTAGGGTTTTTGTATTATTCTTTTTTAATTGTTGAATTATACGGGTTCTTGATCCTACGGTGTCCATCAGATGGATGGTCGAACTTCGGTGGC